TTATTATATTTTTTTTAGTAAAATGATAAACAAAGTCAGCAACAAAACGCCACGTGTAGTCTAGTAGGGCCTGAGAAAATAAAACTGAAAAAGGGTTAGTCCACTAATTGTTGTTTTCAACATGACTAAATTTTTTATTATTTTTTCGGTAGGTTTAGTAGTACCCTTAAATGAATTGAGTGGCTAATTTATTAGCCACTACAAATTAATAAAATCAGCTTCTTAATTACTAGAAGGGAATACTTGTAATTAAACTAATATATCATATTAGCTGTTCAATTCCTCCACTTGGCAGAGAAAAAGAGGAAGAAAGTTGGCCTTAATTGCAGGATTCATTGAATAAAATAAGCTTGAATTTTGAGATTGATGGTGACTCCCCACTAACCTAACCCCAAAGCAAAAAAAAAATACACTTTTTCCCCCAACCAACACAATCTCTATCTTCTTTGCCGTGACATTAAAGAAGATGATAAGGTTGAGGTGGGGCTCCAATTATAAAGCTTTTAGATGGGAGTGACAGACAGGGAGGCAAAAGCCACCGTTGGGACTTGGGATTTGGATGCATGCATTAACATTAATTTTGATCTGCTCTCTTTTAGTTAATGGAACAAAAGTGAATGCAAACACACGATGGAGCACGTGATTTTAATGCAGACATGACATCAATAATTAACATGCTGAAGATCCTTTCTTTCTAAAATTGAATGACCAACTCATCTTTACTATCTAAAATTGAAAATTTCAAACTTCAAAATGGAATACAGGATTGAAATTTTCAACATAAGACTTCATTAATGTCCGTACTTCTTCACTCAATATCAGTGACGAAACCGTAGAAGATATATTAAATATTCAATTTTAAATTTTAAAAATGATAAATTAATTTTACAAATACTAAAATTAGTAAAAAAAATGAAATTATTGTTAGACGTTAAAAAATTGGAGTTATTAGATCCATTTTTACTCAAAATAAAGTTTAATTTTTTTACATAAGTGAACTGCTGAGGGTACCCATTCAAACTTTCTGCATATTAATATTTCAATTTAATTATCATACTTATCATTGAAATATTCAACCATGCAGATATGGCTGAATAGGTTACATACTTGGCGTACACACAAAGAAATATCGTAAATCCTACAAAAATGTTTTTTTTTTGTCAAAGGGAAAAAAATCCAAAACATGAATGTAGCAGACAGCAGCCAGTACCTAAAGATGAAAGGTGGATAATTGGATATCGTCAAGTGAGTCATAGTCAAAATCTGAGGACATCACTGTAATATAAGGAAAAAACAAAGGGCAATCATTTGTTTCACTCTCTATAAATTCAAAGGGACACAGCTTGGGACGGTGAATCATACAACTAACCCAAGTTCTAAACTCCGAAGCATCAAGACTCAAATCCAAGTTCTGTTTGGTTTTTGTATTCTTAATCTCTTAAACCTTTGCAAAAGAAGCTAAGAAGAAATGGGAGGTGTAAGGAGGGAAATGATCAAAGGTGGGAATTTTTCAAGGAGCATTGGAGGACGTCCGATCCCAAGAAGGGGTCAAGTAAAAGTAGCTATATTGCTGGGGATTGCCCATTCTGTTGCTTCTATTTTTAATCCAAGTAGTCGCAGGGCAGCTGCTTCTCACTTGTCCTAAAAAAGTTTAAAAGAAGTGGAAGGGTATGTTGCCTGTCCTAGGAAAGATGTGAGCTGCTTTTTTGTTGTTCATATCAGTTTTGTACAAAGCTTATGTTGAGGAATTTTCGTTCTGGCTTTTCCTTATTAATTTCAGTTTATTTTCTGATCGATTACCATTTCCCACTCCTAGTCTTGATTCCTGATTGAATAAGGGATTTTTAATTTTGAAAAGATAAATTGAGAAGAAAGAACCTTATTGTACTCTTCTCCAAAGATAAATCAATCTCAAGTTGGTTTTTTTGGGTAATTATTCGGTCGACACAGGCTTTTTTTTTTTTAGAAAATAACTTAATTAACCGAAAATGCCTTATAATATACGATTTTAATCAAAAAAAATTTGATTTGTCAAAATGATCAACAAATTCGCAACGCGAACTCCAATTTCGCAACTCAGTTTTCAATTTCGCAACGCGAATATATAAATCGTAACACAGAAGTCAAATTCGCAACGCGATAGTCAAATTCGTAACACAAAAGTCAAATTCGCAACGCGATAGTCAAATTCGCAACGTGAATAGTAAAAATCGTAATATGAATAGTAAAATCGCAACAAATCTATATGTAAATTATCTCTTATCATCCATCTATAATAATTTGTTGGAAAAGTACATAAATAATTTTTATAAAAAATATTCGAACACGTGAAAAAATTTATATGTAAATGAACAACAAATCTATTTCATTTGTCAATCTTCATTACAAATTATTCTAAATTCAATTAATTAAAGTTTGAAATTTGAAAGAATCCTTAACTCATACTAATAAAATACATTTAAAAAATTAAATTTTGAATTATATTAAGAAAAAACTTATTCCTATACACATGTAGATAAGTTTTATTTTTCACTTAAAATCCCAGTCTAGAAGCAGAGAGTTACCATTTGAAATTCGTAACGCAATTTTGCGATTTTCTAAATTCGCGTTGCGATTTTACTATTCGTGTTTCGATTTTTACTATTCGCGTTGTGATTTTTACTATTCACGCTGCGCTTTTGGAAACTGGGTTGCGAAATTGGAGTTTGCGTTGGATTTTGTTGGTCATTTTGGCAAATCCAAAAAAAGTTTGTTAAAATCGTATATTATAAGGCATTTTCGGCCACTTAAGTTATTTTCTCTTTTTTTTGTGGGGGGTTAATTATTCCCATTACCATTGGCCCAAATTTTTTTTAGGGAAAAACGTGTATCTTGAAATTATTTTGAGATCTACAATAATTTTTTATAAGGCATGAACTCGTAACTTCGAGATGACAAATTACATTAATTTTTTTCAAAATTATTAAATAAATTTATTTTTTTTAAAATTTGTGGCACTTGTCATTTCGAGATGGCAATCTCCTTAGATTTAAAATTTTATAGTCGATTTAGATTTGAATTTCCTAAAATTGTAACTATAAATAGAAGTTAGGTTAATTGATAGAGTTATAAGAGAAGCAAAAATGCACTTGTGAGAAAAATATAACTCAAATCAGAAAACATGTGAAAATAATGTTGTATTATCATCTTCTGCAACTTCTCAATCATATATCAACTCAAATCAGAAAAATTTTCAGTGTTGAATTATCACTTCAAATTATAAAAAAATATTTTAATCAGGCCAAATTTTTACTACTTCAGTTACTTTTCGGTGCTCAATTAATACACCATTTTAGCTACTTTTCATAGGTCATTTAATGCAGAATTCAAGTAATTATTCAGAAAACATGTAAAAATAGTGTTGTATTATCATCTTCTGCAACTTCTCAGTTATATATCAACTCAAATAAAAAACTTTTCAATATTGAATTGTCATTTCAAATCACAAAAACGTGTATTCTAACTAGGTCAAACTATTCATTGCTTCGGTTATTTTTCGGTGCTCATTTATTATAGCAATAATACATAATTTCAGCAACTTTTCAGAGGTTAATTTATTGCAACAATAATGTACCGATTGACTTTTCATAGCTCATTCTAGAATTAAAGCTAATTATTTACCAACTTTTTAATGCTTATTTAATCATCTTCAACAACTATTAATATGTGTTAGTTGAATACCATTTTACTTTGATATTGAAGCAAAAAAAAAAACCAAAAACCAAACCACCTTCAATCTTTCACTTCAAAAACTTGAGTTTTTTTTTCAAACATGTCAACTGTTTGTGCAACTGATTTTTACGATTGCACATCTATAACCATATGTTTCCCAAAAAACATTCAACTACACGAGTTGAAGTTCAGTATAGAAACAAGAGTCTTACTCCGAAGCAGTAGAAGAGTATCTTCCTTATATTATAAATTTTCAGTATCATGCACGATGTTTCATCTAAGCGATGACGTAGACTTTGTTGGCATGATCGAGACATATTTCTATCACTCTTTGTCTAATGTCGATTTGTTTGTAGAGTTCGATGATCTCGACCTTTCTCGTACCATTGAGATTGTTGCTTCCAGCTCGAATATCTCACCAACTCAAGCAAATGACCAAGAAAAATATATAGATGATGGAGACCCAGAAACATGGTTCCAAATCATACGTAAACGAAAACAACAAAAAGAATGGGGAATTGAAGAACTAATCTTACTTCTAAGGAGTATATTGATTACGAAAATCAAAACTTCTTAATCAATACTGTTATGTTAATGATTTTATTTAATATTTATGGTGTTCGTAAAATTAGTTCTATTTAAGTCCTCATATTGATGTACTAAATTTGTTGTTTTTTATTCAATATAATTTACCACATTTTGAAGAGATTGATGAAAAAAATACGGTAAAAGGTGACGAGTTCCACGTAATTTTAAAAATAAAAATAAATTCACTTAATAATATTTAAAAATAATAATTTTTTAATAGAATTCATCGCCTCGAGGTGAGAAATTCCAAAGGAAATATTAAAATATTAGTTTCTGAATAAAAATATATATCTCATGGAGGTGACGAGTGCGGGGTGCATTGTAAAAAATGCCATAGATCCCAAAATAATTTCCTTTTTTTATTTCATTTCGCCCAAGCACGAGATTCGCCCCGTAGCAAAGCAATGATATTCAGCTTCTGCTTAAGTGACCATTGAGGCTTGAGCAGGCCAAACACAGCGGGTCGAAGCGTTCCCATTGGGGTAGTGATGTAGCAAGTTTTCAACAGCTTCTGCAGCCTGGGGATGTAACTTGCCAATGCTCATTTCTTCTTAGAGGCCTTTGAATATTCATTAACAATCCCTTGCAGGTATATGACTTGAACAGGTTTCCTTCTAAGATTTTAATTATGTATTTGGAAAGCTTGAATTTGGAACTTGTGTTTTCCAACAAGGGTTAAGTTAGGTATATGGGAGATGATATACACAATCTGAAAACAGGTAATCATTCACTATAAGTTCGCTATTCCACTAGTTGATGTATCAGTATTTTCTTGAAAGAGTTGACAAAGGGATACTAGAGTGGCCTGTGGCCCCTACTTCATTTACAAATGCATACTTCATCCTCAAGCAATTTTCACTTCGGAATTAAATAGACGGTTGAGCACAGCGGCAAGGCGAATCCCACCTTGAGCAAGCCTCTTCTCAACAATAGGCAACCGAGAAAGGAAGTACTCGTCTACGGAACAAAAGAAGAATGTGTTAAAAGAAAGATGACACGTGTTCAAATAAGAGCTTATCTGGTCCTCATCGAGAAGGTTGCAATCATGTACTAAATAACAGTATCTGAGCATTTTAGCATGTCAATTTCCATTATCCAAGCCATATTGAGCGAATCATGTGTAAGAAAAATTAGCATTCAAAGGGATGGTTAAAGTGCAAACGGATAACAAAGTTCATTGATGCCTTCAATGGTTAAGCAGCAACCAGATGTTCACGTAAACCACCAAATACAGGTACTGCATGTGTTACAGAGAAAGGTGAAAAGACAATAATCATAATGTTTAGGCAGGTTGATAGACATAGTAGCATTAATTTTGCCATCTCTCTCCAATAAGTTGTTACTTTGATTTAACTCAACAGCGGAGCAAACATATATTACATAGAGAGACGTCTTCCGATTATCAAATAAGAAAAAGGAAGTGGTGGAAGAAGAAAATACCTTCTAATGTGCTTCCCGGAGTGGCATTCCTGTATGCAAACTTGCATGCCAACCTAACACTTTCGGAAGCATACCTGCATGGAGACAATTGATTATGTCTAATGATGGCAGTTCCTTGTAACACAAAACAATATTACCTCTTTTGTTAATTAAAGTAACTCGGAATTAAATTAAAAACATATTTGTATGTTTGGAGCATGCATATCTACATATTTACAGGTGAATTTTGTAGTGTGCTTTGACAATCTATATAGTAAATACAGCTGAACCACCCGAGCAAATGCATCAGAAAGAGTTAAAACAATATGCCGTGTGACATATACTTACAGGTTAGGACAAACAGTTTGATTATGTCCACAATTCTCCCATGACGATATATAGTTGGACCAATCATCCTATACACGAAAATGAAACACAACAGTGTCACACTTTGGCAATTGCATGGGCCGTCTTAAAAATAAATAGGGTAAACTACACAGTTGGTCAGTAATGTTTGAGTTAGTTTTCGTTTTCCCCACTGATGTTTCAAAAGTTACAAATCGGTCACGTTATCGATTGGTTACAAACTGGTCACTTAACGTTAACAGACAAGTTGGTCATCCTATACGTGACGCAAAACACAGTTGGCTCGTTAAATGCTTACGTGGAAGGCTGGTTAAATGCTTACGTGGAAGGCTCGTTAAATGCTTACGTGGAAGGCTCGTTAAATACTCGGCCAGAAAGCTCAGAACTATAGCGACAATCACAAGCTACAAATCCATTACTACCAAAACCCAATTCAATAACACAAATATCTGTTGCTAAAACCATCGTCCCTGTAAGAATTTGCCTCTCTTTTTTTGTTTTTTCTTTCTTCGAAAACCAAAGCGAATGGACCCTATTTCCGCTCTCCGTGACTTCAAAATCCAGGGCGAACTTGACAAAATCGTCCGAGTCAACGATGAGTTCCGATTCGGCACCGAGTATTCCTTCCCCAACACCGCCGAGACCGCCTACCGTTCCAAGCAAGGCAATCTCTACAACCTCGAGACCATGTTTTCTACATCCAAAACCATCATCTCAAGCACACCGATTACATGCACAACTCTCTTTCCCTCCGCATCCCCGCTGTCACCTTCACCGATCGGAAACCCCTCCTCGATTACCTCACCGGCAAAGTCTCCACCCAAGTTCCCCGACGAGTTTCAAGTCCACCTATCTGGGTTCGATCCGGATAGCGCCAAACCCAAAGGTAATAACACCAACGATGTTGTTTTGGATGAAATAAGAGATACCCATTTTAGTGTTAAGGATAAAGAGATTGAAATTGCTGATTATATGGGAATAATTCGATCGATTGAGAAACCTTTGAAGGATAGAGAAGGGATTTTGGAATGTAAGAATAAGGAACTTTTATAGTGTTCTTGTTGCTGCTACCAAAAGGGAAGAAAGGTAGAGACTTGAGTCTCAGCAACGCATTTTTCTGGCCGGTTAAAGGGATTTCAATTGTTTTCCAAATGGCAGTCAACCCTTTCATGTAAGCATTTAACGAGCCCCGTCACGCATAGACGTTAACGTTGAGTAACCAGTGGAGAAAATAAAAACTAACTCAAACATTAGTGACCAACTGTGTAGTTTTCCCAAATAAATACAGGTCTAAACCCCAAGGAAAGAAGGGAAAGAAAAGCCAAAAAGCAGCATTAAAGGGAGCAGGAGAAATTCCTAATTCTCTAGTCCAAATTAAACTCGAGTGTTTTGCAAGTAGTTACCAATTGAATAAAAAATACTGAATGATTCAAGATTTTCAAAAGAATATGAAGGAAATAAAAAAACGCTTACAGTAATATTCCTCTGGATGGATTGAATCATTACTGCAAGATCTGAACGATAGAATGTCTTCAAAGCAGAATCAATAATCATGGTATCCCAGACCTGTAACAGTGATAGTACTGGATTAAACAGCATACAGATGGAACAAATTGGCTCCAACTACAGTCCACACATATGCCCAGTTTCTCATGCATGATTTTATCAGTACTTTAAGCATGAATCGCATTTTTCCATCCAAACATTCTGACAAACAAGTTGTCAAGTCGGACCAGAAAGAAGAGTTATCACTGGATCTAACATCAGTCAAGGAAGAGGTAAGGAAATGGTTTTCCCGACTGAAGTACACATTTGCCTCAAATGACTCACAGCTCAAGCACCTTCAATTCTTTTCTTTTCCTTTTTATACGAGCAGAAATGACAAGAGGCAGGTTGGATCAGTTGTTGGCTTGTTGCTTAACAGCGCACTTCGATGACTGCTAACCGGTTGCTATTGCTTTGAAATGTAATTCTTGTGCCCCTTCCCATCATAATGAAGCAGAAAAGTAACATAATGAGAGTAACACATTAGTGCATATTTAATTTTCTTTAGCATCATTTGGCACTTATCACAGGGTAAACGAAAAATGAATGCTGGACGGTGATAAACCTAAAAAGGACGGAGAAGAGCTCACATGGTGTAAATTTGTCTTCCTGTGGTACCAGTGGACTGTAATTGTATTCCCGCCTAAATCTCCTATGAAGCCAACATGTAATGGCTGTAATCAGAAAAGAAAAAGTTATAGCGCTGAATGTACACCTTATTTTTCCACAAGAAATAGGCAACAAGTTCTCTTCTACACTTCCACGTCAAAGTTAGCTAATCAGTTTAAAAAAGGTTAAAAGGGTAAATGGATATAAGCAACACATTCTAGATGACTACAGAACATGGGTCAGAATTTTCTATGAAGTTGTGGCTTTCCAGTCAAAAATTGCATAAAAAAGATCATAAAACAAAGTACATGACAGAGAACCAGATTACAGAAAATATTCTTTGCACCTTCAAATAAGTATTATTGTTTTGAAACTATAATATGTCATTCTAAAACAACGGACTTTAAGCATTAAGCTGTAGCATTCAACAATGATTGTCTTTAACAACCATCAGTCAGTCCTATGAACCATGTAAAACCTTTGTCTGAGAAATCTGCACTGCACTACCAAGTCTTCTAAACATAAATCATGGTAAATAAAGCAGGTTTACACCAAACTTTTTTCTATTTCTTCTCACTTCTTTTAAACTAGTTGGCAAAGTAATACAGACTTGAAGAACATAATTTTGAGTTAACTACATGTTTCTCAGATCAAGTCAGCTATTCATCCAATTCCAATATAACCGCACAGTTGATAGGTACCAGAACAAGTGCACAAACCTGATGGACATCCCCAATATAATGAGCTAAGAACATAAGCGCCTCTGTCAAGTTGTCTGTTAACAACAGAAGAGGAGTCACGGTATAAGGGTTAAAAATATAATGTCATAGCCTGTGTAAGTGGCAACCACGAGTAAGAACAAACTTACAACTCAACTGAGGATTATATCCCTGATATGCTGAAAAAAGTTGATTTGTATAGTTGAAAATGGCTCCAGTTACGCAACTATTTTTATGTCCATAAGAATCATGGCAGTCCCCTATAAGTATCCATGATCAGACGTGTTAAAAGAATCAACTACAAAGCAACATCTACATTACCAGAACCGAAACATGAAAATAAAATGACACTAAACTTACGGCAGTATTTATAGTTACACTTGAAATCTGGGGTATCAACGTAGTGCAAGGGACTAGTCCAGTGCCATTTATAGTACCACTTTATCTCATCAGCCCAGGAGCATACCGATGCAAGCTCACCACCAGCCAAATCAGGGAGCAGTTCCCTTACTGTAGCCAGAGCATCTTTAGTAAGATATCCCTGAAGGATCAAGAAGAGCATAATTAGATGAAATTGTCATCTTCTGATTCACAGCCAATTGAAGCAATACTCTCAGGAAATGAATTCATCTAGAATTGCTAGTTACACACGCACAAAATAGTTAAACACAAAAACCAAAAACAAATAAAAGAACCAACCAACCATGACTGTTCAATAAACTGATTTTCCTTAACCGATCTATATGAGCTTATGGTACAAATAATACACAACAAAAATTTTCAAAAATAAACAGAGAAAAGAAGTCTGACCTCAGCTATCTTGCAAACAGCATAATGACCATCCTTTCCCCAACCAACAACCCCTTGAACCAATTGCATAAGGACAAGTAGTTTTCCAATCCATAGGAGCTCATGCCAACCCATTCTTCCAAAACCCTTTAATTGACGTCTGTGAAGTATCAAAATCCAACCTTGATATTTGTGTTTAAGGGGGGAAAGTTTAATTTTTCATGTGCGCTCTGTCTGATTGATAAGAGGAAGCCACAAAATAAAAATTAACAGAGCAAGGAAAAAAAATCCCCTTTTGAGTTTTGATCCCATCATTATATTTCTTTATGGGTTTCAAGAAAATGGCTTTTTTTCTGATTTGGATACCGAATCAGAAAAAAACATTTTCTCAGGAAACAAGCAAAGATTAGATCCTTCGGTTACTAAGTTAACCCACAAACTAAAAGAGGAAAAAGATGAAAGCCATTACCGTAAAATATCTCTCGCTTTGGATCCCGGGAATAGTGGAAACGTTATCTTTTCCGTAGACCCGGAGGGATCAATCTTTGGTCCTTTTGTTCCAAGTTTCAATGTTAGTATCCTCCAGTTTAGCCTGACAAGCAAGTATGACTTTCGTTTCGTGGAGTTTAAAAACTTACAAGTGGAAAGTGGATGGAACTATCGTAGACTATAATTTTCGTGTTACAACAGTGAAAGCAGTAAAATGAAAGATGGGAATTTTCTTTGATAATGTCATCATGATTCGACAAAAGCTGTAATGAGTCGTAGTAATTATAATGTTGTGTATACACACATAAATATGTGTTTACACGCATCAGATTATTTAATCCAAACCCTAAACCTCAACATACCCTTCAACTGAATCTCCTAAAGCTAGTTGTTGTGCCAAAAGGAAATTATCACCATTAGATATCTTATGTTTTGTTACAACAGTTCAACCTGCAACAACTATAAGCGGCTATTCTATGGGAATCACATAGTGGGAGAATTGTCTTGGTCAATCATAAGAACAAAAACATATAAAATTTAGAAACCCAATATTCACAACCGGTAAGTTGAAACATAGAGACAACTTTTTGATGTCAAAAGGCTCGAATCCGTCGATGCAGGCTGTAGTGAACAAAAACATATAAAATTTAGAAACCCAATATTCACAACCGGTAAGTTGAAACATAGAGACAACTTTTTGATGTCAAAAGGCTCGAATCCGTCGATGCAGGCTGTAGTGATAATAACGAGTCCAGGTGAAGTATTTCAGTTGCAAGAAGTGGAATAACCCAAAATCAAAGATGATAAATTCCTTATCAAAATTAAAATCAAATATAAGGTGAATTCATTTTTCATCTGCAAGAAACCCAAAAGTCTCCGGTCTTCAATGGTTTACATTTTATTTTATTTTATTTTTTAAATACGAAAGGATCAAAATCATTCTCGTTCATGGGTAAATTTACTAATTACGACAAAAATATTTTATTTTCTTAAATAATTTATCATAATCCCTATCTCTGTAATTTTATTCTGCAAGATCAATATTCCTCTAACCTAACCATTTACATTTACATATATACTTAACGTTGTTAGACGTTGTGGAGCCCACGCTCACGTGGCAAAATCGCGGCCCTTCTTCCGTGATTCCCATTGGAAACGTATCACTCAATGGTTAGAAAAATACTAAAATTTGGGTAAATTACATGGTTTTTAATTAAACTTTACTCTGTCTCCTATTTCACTCATCGTACTTTCAATTTTTTCAATTTGCTCACTCAACTTTAGACATTGGATTTTTTGCTCACTCTAAGATGATGTGTCTTATTTTATTATTTTTACTAATATGATGTCTCATGTTTTATAAATATTTTTAACACTAAATATGATTAAAATAAAAATAAATTTGAAACTTATAATTATACCTAAATTCTCAAATTATATCCCAAACTCATGTTCTTCCGCTAGACTACCACTGCCACATCCTCGTCTCTTTGAAACAATGCACCCACATGTCTTAGCTTAAACAAATTCACACCCACACCCTCTATTCCACTTCACCTTACCATCGTAAAAACTTATTTTTAAACTCTCAGATCCTCCACTTTTCTTCCTTCTTCGACTTCAATTGCCTTTTTAAACTCTTCCAAAAAATCCAAAACCCCAATTCCTTTATGTGGAATACTCTCATAATAGCATGTGCCCATAACGCTAACAACAAAGAACAAGCCTTACGGTTTTTTTAGAGATACTAGAGCAAGCTCTGGTTCTCCCTGATAAGCATACTTTCCCATTTGTTTTGAAAGGTTACGCTTACTTGTCTGTTTTCTCCCGAAGGGAAACAGGTTCATGCCCATGCTTTGAAACATGGGTTCTATAACACCCTAAACCAGTACAATACAGTCGACCACTGAGGGTGCTACACGGAACCACCGAAGGTGCTGGCTAACCTTTTTCTTATTTCTCTTACTTTAAAGCAACTATTGTCTTTATAAATTCAACTGTAAAAAAATATAATTAAAACTAAACACTGGGGATCTCCCAAAATAAATATTTACATTCAAAAATAACAATACAGACATACTTTAAAATACATTTACGACTCAACTTTACAACAGGATTTATAAATATACATGCCCTTCAAAAACTTGAGACGTACTTTGATCTGTATAGGTCTGGACCTCAGTCACTCTAAGCTCCTCAAAAGCTCTACTAATATGCGTAAGGAAACAAATTCTAAGCGATGAATTAACAAGCTCAGTGTCACACTAACAATTAAATCATACCAATTGTAAATCATTAAAAGGCTCAAGCTATCAAGTCTAATGCGTAAGCACATTCTTACTCTATTGAAGTGAAGAACAATATCAATACTTACTCATACAGTACTGATACCCTGCTCGAAAATGTCCTATTTGTGCTCGAAAATCCCACTAAGACTCCTCATTTTGACTTCCTTGAGGTTTCCAATTGTGATGAATGTCTTATGTGATATTAAGGGGCATTAATAAGGCTTTTAAAACATGCTAAAACACTTTATTAAATAATCTACCGTGGAATTCTTCTCAACATGTTTAAATCTTAATTTTCTAACTAAAACTCATTTCTAATGATCTACAACTGGTATGAGGAAGTTGTGAGTGTATTATCTGACTTTCTTGGTTTCTAGAATCCATTTCAACTCAAATAGGATTCACTTTTTCTTTCCCCTTGCCTTTGAACTTTCTCCCACTTCCTTAGTTATATAAAGGTAAGAAAAGAGATTACTACTTATCTAAAGCTTAAAACAAGGTTAAGGATACTCCAAACAACTCAAATTTACTAGAATAAACTTAAATCCTTTGAATTCTTTAACCTTCCTAAAAAAACTCATTTTCTTAAACCTTACCCATAACTTAAGATTAGGGGCTTGAAATGAAGCTCGAGGGATGAAGGTTGAAACTCTTACCTTGATTACTTCTAACTAGGCTTGGAAATCTAAAGAATCCTATACTTTTTGGCTTGCTCTTGAGAGGAAGAGAAGATTGAAATGAAAATATTTTTGGGTGGGTATTGGTTTCAAATGAAAACACATAATATAAAGGGGTTTCTATCCTTTAAAACAAGCTATGGGAAAATTACTAATTTGGTCCCTCTCCTTTTAAATCCACCTTAAAACTACCACTTAGCTTGAACTATTGAGCTAAACTTAAGCCCAATATCCTTATAAACTGGTCCAAACTGATCTAGAAAATCTAATGTGTAGTACCCCTAACTCATATCCGACCCGAATACAAGTCCGATGTGTCACATTGACCTTTTAAAATATGTACTTGTATAAAATAGTGAGTAATTTAAAACTTTTATAACATATAAATGACTAATTTACATAAAAGGCATTTTCCTTATTACAAAACCAATTAGAGCGTGTATATTTCACTTATTTATTTACATATAACTATTCGAAACATTTATAAAACTGTTCATAGCTTAAACAATATATTCTTTTGAAAACATACCAACTAGAACTTTATATACTAAAATACATATTATTCACATCTTTTCTGATCTGACCTTTAGTAAGGAGAACTGACATGTCTTGCTCCACATTGCTCTTTACTCTTCTCGAAACCTACGTGTAAATCACTTACACGCTAAGTCAAAGACTTAGTGAGGCAAATAAACATATAAGGTAAACGGTAAATAATAATCATACCTAAACAATTACTACTATCATTTCATACCACTCATACTTTTACATGTAACAAATATATGCATACATAAATGTCATTATCATTCATATCTCTTATCTCATGTTCATATGATCTCTTATCTCATGTTCATATGATCTCTTATGTCCATATCATATAACATATATCATAACCAATTGCACATATACATATCATGTCATGTAAACCATATATATATACTATCATAACACGTACACCCAAGCAACTATATTATCATCCTCATTTCTTTCTTATTTTATCACTATCATTGATTCCTTTCATCATATGGTCTTATAAGTTACCATTTGTACAATCAATATCACACATGAAATTCCACAAGGAAACAAACATATTATCATATCACTTTATTAATATTATCTATTAATAGCCCATACACACGTGAGACTAAAGATATGCGAGTACATAGAGGTTGTGCACTAATGATGTCACCACAGCTCATATAATTGCACCGAAGTGCCACATATAATTGCACCGGAGTGTCGCGTAGAATTGCACCGTAGTGCCATATAATAATTGCACTGTAGTGCCATATAATAATTGCACCGGAGTGCCGCATAGAATTGCACCGTAGTGCCATATAATAATGTCCATAAGGACCACATATCATTCCTTAAGAATCATATACATATACTAGGGATCAAGTATGTGTCTTACCAGACTTCACACATGTTCCAAAGAATAAATATATGTCCCGAAGGACCATATATCATTCCTTAAGAATCATATACATATGCCAAGGATCAAGTATGTGTCTCACAACTATACCCTAGCTCTCATGACACATAACATGGGCATTAGGTTTTATATCCTTTTTACATATTCATGTAACCATATCATATATTCATATAAGCTCATGGTTTCATTCACATATACATGTAATCACGTAGTTCATGTCGATTCTCATATGAGTTCATATTCATATAAACATAGGATTCACCCTCATGTATCACATATACTTTCTCTTTCATATGGCTCATAACATTTCTCATGTGTTCATATGACATGTAAATCATTGTCATCTTATCATTATCACATAACACATCTTACAATACATACAAAACACATCAATACCTATATTCACATATACCTATCATTTCATTATCCTTATTATTATTCTTATTATCCCCATTAATCCCTTTTACTTACCATATTCATATCATAACACATATACTCATGCACACATATAAATCATAACAAATACATACTTATGAATTCATGTTTTTCACTATTGGAAATAGAATTATCACAAGTCTTATTTTCCCTTGAACCTCATATACTAGAGAATGTGCACTCACCTTAGCTTTGCTTTGATTCGATTATAATCCTTCAATTGATCCGGAACGGGAT